CTCTTCCTGGAATTTCAAGGTATGAATTTAAATTTGCACTTCAGGTTGATGCCTGGAGTCTTTTGTACAAAGAACACATCGATGCTTGTTAATGTTTAAGGAGGGAGGAAGGGAGCCGGGGGGAGGGGAGAGGGTTGGTACCCTTGAACTGCTTGATCCTATCAAATCTACTTATTATCTGGAGAATGTGTAAAACATGTTGAGAAATTTAACTTAGGACCAAATCCAGAACTCCTGTATTGCACATAACTTTCTGTTGAAGCAGGGAAAGCCCCACACCCATCTACGGAAAGAACTCTTCAGAACTACCCTTGTGTGGCTTAATAAGAGCAGTAACCTAAGTCCACTCATACCCGAAAATGATAACCACTCTCTCTCCCCCTCTCTCTCTCAGTCGTGTGTCACCAATCTAGCCAATACAGCTGTAATGGCCAAATTTAGGCAGATCAAATTGGCGTAACAATCTGAAGGTTATCAGTGTACCGTCCAATACATTGTCAACTTTCACCACCAGAGGAGGGGGGGGGGGGGGGGAGAGAAGGAGAAGTGAGGGGAATTTATCTGCGTTATATTCAATTAGAGGAAATTAGTTTATCAGCCAAGTTTGCTTAAGGTTAGAAAATAGGGAAATTTGACCATTTTAGAATCCTCCTGACTTTAGTGCTTTTTGAAAAACGTCAGTGGCAAATTTTTGAGCTTCGGGATTTTTTGTAAACTCCTTCACAATCTATAGGAGGAGAAAAAAGTAAAAATTTAGAAATGTACTTTAAAAAATGTTAATTAGGTCTTAAAAAACAAAATTTTGGCTTTTGATAAAAGTCAAGTTAAATCTTGTAGCTATTGTCAAAGTTGGATCGAAATAGCTTGATTTGCGCTAAAATTCGAGCTATGGAATATCAAGATAAGTTTATTATATAACAATCCAACGAAGTAATGAACTTAAAGTTCAGCCAATGTGGTAGTGAACCCCTTTTGACCTCTTCCCACAAACTAGCACCCTCTCCCCAATATGTTCTATTTTCTTAGCTTTCCTATTGGTAGGAAAAATATTTTACTTACACTTATATTTTTGCCTCCTCCACCTTTGGCTACCTCCTTTTCAAAACGACCAATGGCCTAGAAGAAATATCGATTAGAAATAACATTTTAACTTGCCCTCTCGGCGACTATTTGCGGCCCCACTCTCTTAAGGTACGTAGGCGCAAAGTAGGCACATAAGCCAGCAATGCCAGCAAAGACCGCTCCGATTGCTATCATACAAATCCCGGTCAAACAAGGACTAGAAAGAAATCAATAATTTAAAGAGCGAAATAGACTTACGTTTTTCTATAAGGATTGCACTTTTTTACACAGACATATGCTCCAAAAATTATAGATGCTAAACCAACGATTGCAATGATAATCAAACAAGCAATTTTGCGATATAAGCTTGCTTTGGCCGACATCTTTCCTTGATTGGGTGAGTACCTCTAAAACAAAAAAAAATATTACCCTATTACTTTACTGACATATAAAATGAAACTCACTTTTATCAAAGTAACCAATGGCACGTTCAAATGGTGATTCAACTTTTTATAACAGATACTCTAAAGGTATAGATAGTATTGCGATTGGTTGCTTGCATAAATGAGGTCAACCATTGCCAAGAATCAATCCGAAGTTTAACCAGGGCGAAAAGGCCTTGTAGGGGAAAAATGAGCAAGCTGGTGTTGAGACCAGACTATAACTCCCTCTTTGATATCTCTTCGTACACCACCAATAGTCGAATGAAAATCAAAATAAATAAGCAAAACTCTTTCCCCTCCTATTGCATGAAATTAGCTAATTTATTTACTGCATCAAAGTAGATATTCAGGACTTTCTAAATTGGTGGCTATTCGGTTGCTTCTAAAGGGCACATATTGACTAGTTCAATCTTTCATTATGGTCAGCAAAATCTCATAGAACACATAATAAAGCCACTTTAGATATGTATAATGATTATGAATTGTCTTTAATACTAACTGATATGAGCAACCTGATCTCATTGCCATTTTTAATTATTATTAAAGTAGTCATTTATGTAGTTTATAGCCGTCATTTGCTATTTTGTCTCCCTGAGAATGCTCTGTGGATATGTGAGACTGGTAATAGGGTGGAACGAAGTCTGACGAGAATGGAGGATATGGTGGAACCTCGCAAATTAAATTCCCGATTTCTTTGGAAGTCGTTTTCATTTTGAATCATGATTTCTACTTCGCCAAATTAACTTGCATGACAATCTTTCCATTTCTGTTTGAGTCATCCAGTTGTTGCCCATCTAGTTCTAACATTTCGTAATGAATTATTTCACGTATCACGTACATCTTACCAGATGCACGGAGGTGTTCGAAGAGTCAAACCTGGCTAGGCTTAGTGGTTGGAATGAGTGTTCCATTTGGAGGTGACCGTTGTTCTTCAAACTGGTGTTGTCGTAAAGGACTAATTTTTGTTTCAAATAGCAATTTTATGTTAGAGGACATATTCTTTATCATGATAACAAAAAGGTCATATGTTACCCCAGTTATCCTGCTTAAACTGGGAGAATTGCTGCACTTGCACCCGAATTCCCGCCACATTCAATTTATTAATACACTCCAAAGGTAATTGCTCAGCTGCCTATGTGAATTTAATTTTCTGAGATAATTAACTCATAGTTATCCGACAGCCTGATTCAGCCAGAGATTCTTATATGTCATCATTAAAGTTTATATGCAGTCCCCATGTTGACGCATCATTTAAATTCAGTCTTTGGGGTGTGCTATAGACTTACCTCCACGTGGAGCACCCTGGGCAACGTATACTCATACTGCAAAAGTCTATTAACCGGCATTTGACTTCTGACTTCAAACTACCATCACCCCACTGTATGTCAAATTCGACTACTTCAACCGTACTCACCTCACCTTTTTTCCAACTTTGTGTCTGTCTCTTTTCCATCTTTGAAATACTCTTCTGTTCCTTCGTCTCGATCTTTTTCACTTTGATGTTCCTTCCCCTCTGTGAAGCCTGAGACTTGTTTTCACTTTGATGTTCCTTCCCCTCTGTGAAGCCTGAAGGCAACTAAAGGGCTAATGATAACCTTCAAGATGCCTGCCATTATCACTTTGATGTTCCTTCCCCTCTGTGAAGCCTGAAGCCTAAAGGGCTAATGATAACCATCAAGACGCCTGCCATTTGCTAAAGGGCTAATGATAACTATCAAAACGCCTGCCGTTTAAATATAACGCCTGCCATTTGATATAAATAAAATTCAGTCTTTTAAACGAAAAAAATCGCATCTGACACTGTTAGGTCTCGACCATAGATTTCAGTGAGGACATTAGTAGTAACCTATTCGGGGTCCTAGCTCTGCTGAAAGAAAAGGAGCATGCAATGTCTGAATGTGGTGGTCCCTGTCTGCTTTGTGGTTGAATATTTTTGACCTCATTTATAAATGCCTATTAATTTTTCCATTAAGAACTAACATACAGTCACAGTTATCACCGTCTCTGGACACCAACTGAACTCAAACATCTACTCATACAAATTTCGGCGCAATTTTAAATTTCATTTGTAACATTGTTCTTTCATCATTTCAAGGACGTTGGAATGATACAGGCATCTAAATATCTCAATTTTAGCATAGTGTTGTTTCGATTCATCAGCTTCCGACAGTAAAGTCAATATTGATATTATTTTATTATTATTATCATTTATTTTATGTCATGAAAGTTAAGCATAATTTTTAGTATTGATGTCAATAGGTATGAGCTAATTCAGTCATATATTTTATTAAGTGACTGGGTTGAAGAATACACGCTCTTTTCTTCTCGTAAACTAAAATATTTATCTGAATTAATTATCTAATCTGCTACTAAAATAAATTAAATTTCAATATTTATCTAATTGTACAGTTATGGTTCTGTAAATCTGTATTAATTCCTAACCAATACCACCAATGCCAAAAAGAAGTGTGCCCTCACAAACTAACTTTAAGAAATTTTAAATTTTAAAATGCACAATAGTACCATTTAATGGAATTTAAACATCTTACAAATCTAAGGTTTTAGAAACCCTGCCAGTATTTTTTTGAGAAAAAATAGCCAAAAATGCTATATCGAGAAGAGAAGAAACTCATATCTTTCAACTTCATTTTCCTAGTACTTGGGGTGTGCGATAGACTTACCTCCACGTGGGGCACCCTGGGCAACGTATACTCATACGGCAAAAAAAGTCTATTAACCGGCAGTTGACTTCTGACTTCAAACTACCATCACCCCAATGTATGTCATATTCGACAACTTCCATAGTACTCACCTCACCTTTTTTATACCTTTTCTACCTTCGCTTTTGAAACACTCTTCTGTCCCCCCCCCCCTCTCAACTTTTTTTCACTTTGATGTTCCTTCCCTTCAGTGGAGCCTGAAGTCAACTAAAGGGCTAATGATCACCATCAAAACGCCCACCATTTGATATAAATAAATGAATAAATTTCCTAGTACTTTGAAACAAAAGCCTAAAGACTCCTTCGGTCAAATGCTCCTTCGTCTTAGAGGAAAGTGAGGTAATCTAGAAAATGATGTCTCAAAAGAAATACAGGAGATCACTATCAACAGTAGAAAATCTCCCGTTTACATTAGCTGATAAAAGAGTCTAATTATTACACTTGCGCTGATATCACACAATTTTGAACTGATCTGTTGAAAGAGGCAGCTACACAAAGTAAGAGTGCGTAAACACTCGTCTGTTCGGCAAATCGGATGTCATGAAGGCGTTGAGATAGGTGGATACCAAACACCAGTGTAGAACACAAGATGAAAGTCGATTTCAAGAAAGAAGTAATCAATTTATCACATTCCTCATCCAATACTGAAATCAATACACCACAATAAGTCTTGTATCAGTAGGAAAAGATATTTTATTAATATCGAATTTTAGCAGTGTCAATGATATTGGCAAATAAGAGTTTGTTCAGATGGCCCAAAATGCCATTAAATAGTCTACTTTTTATGCTTTGCAAGTCTAAGGAGAAAATTGCCAGCAATCTCAAGAACTTCAGGGTGCTTGGAGGCTTCTTTTAGGAACTAGAAAAGATAAAGTGAATGCAGAGTATATTCACGGATATTAATTATACTTTTTTTTCAAATTCTTACCAAATCGAATTGCCAACCCAGATGCTCAGGTTCATCATTATCCTTTTTAAACCAACGTGACCTTTTGGGCTAAAGTGGGATTGTAAAATAACCAAAAGATGTAATAAACTTGCTCTTTGACTTTCCCTATTACTATTCGACTCATCAGGTGGATGTTCCAACTAGAAGTAGTAGAGTTAGGGGTGCAAGAAAAGAAAGCCCACCTCATCTGTTTCAGCATTCTCCATGTCTTCCTCCGAATCAACTTCCTCTTCCAAAGACTCGTGTTTCTGCCTGGCTGGTAGACAACAGATTCCAAATAATGCTAAACAAGTTGCAAGGCCTCCAACTCCACAGGAAAACAAGGACAAAATACAATCCCTAAAGAGTTGTGCAGAGAGTGTAAATTCAGTGATTCTTACTACAACTTACGTTTTGCCCATGTTCTCCGCTGAGCATTTTTCGATTGAGAAATATGTCCCAACTCCTGCTGCCGTGATTCCACATAAGGCAACCACGATCCAGATCCACATGCATACGCCTCGTTTACCCGAACATCCCATAACCTGAGCGCAAAAAAGTGCAATTAGAATAAATATATGTGAAAATTTCGTCTAATCGTCTTAGCAACGCAAGAAAACTGACTGTTTGAAAGTTGGCGTGAGAGGTGTGAAAGGTGCCTAATAAAGCGCTTTGTAAGACAGTATCATGTGTTCTCATTGGTCACAACGGGAGAGGTATAGAGGTCACGGATTCTCTATGTATGACACCACCAAAGCAGGCTTCTTCTCAACCCCCAGTTTGATAATGTCACGTGTTTTTTTGGTAATATTCACATCAATTGCAACTTGCTACAGGCATTGATTTGTGACAATCAACTGTTGATAATAAAGAACATTGACTCAATATACGATTCCTTTATTCAGATAATGACTTTTTCTTTCTAGTCTTCTTTTCAGGATCTACATTTAAACATTTTCCCGTAACTAAACACCCACGCCTTCAATCTACGTACCTGTAGCGGATTGCGACCTTAGTACAGCCTGACTGACTCAGAAATCTCTATGGCAGACTCCCCAACATCTAGCTAGACTCCCAGAACCAGCTAAGCTATAGACCAGCTATAAAGGAAACAGACGAGTAGCACGGAGCACGGTTATTCAGTGAGTATGTTGCGGATAAAGTGTACACGCAGGGAGCTACTCATGATCAGGATGGGGGGTTAGGTTAAACAGAGGTCGGTGATTGGTCACTGTTTGTACAGTCGCTGCACACGGAGTTGTACGGCCGCACCTCCCAATCCTGGCGAGCAGACATGCAGGCATACGATGACGCACAGAGCGATAACGCGTCCCACATACCTACCATTTCTATTTTCATACATAAG